TAAGAACTTATAAAGAAAAGTTAATTGTATTGCCTGTTTTTAATTTTAAAAGCAAAGTAATCAGCAAAATTTCTGAAAATTTAGTTTAAAATCTATATTTATTCTTATTTTTAAATTCTCTCTCTATTTATTTATTTATTTACTGTCATCTCTCGATAATTCAGTTAATTTTAATTAGTTATTTTTTTTGATTGATATTTTTTTTAATGATAAAAACTATTAAAAATAATTTATTTTTTTTACTGATTGAAAGTTGAAATACCTATGGTTAATTATTCATCTATTTATTATTTTTCAAAGAAATGTATTTAATGATGAATAAGCCTGTTTTTTAATATAAAATAATATTATCAGACTATTGTTAAAATAGTTTTTTTATTTTGCTTTAAAGTAAGTACTAATTCAAATATTTTGAAAAAATGAAAACCCTTAATAAAATAAATAATAGAAATTAAATGAAATTAAATATAAGATTTACTATTTTATAAATTTATAAAATGGATATTTTCCATTTATGTAAAAAAATAATTTCTGAGTTATTTTTAATTGAAAAGCTTTGTTGATACTTTATTTTTGACAAGTTAACTTCATTTATTTGTATTAAAAATAATTAAAAAATGTTTAAAGTTAGAAAAACATAATTATTCTAAGTTATATGAATTATTTTGTTACAAGTTACAAATATAAAAAATACATATTTTATATTCTATCTACTCTTTATTTCAAAATTTTAATGATTATTTGACTAGTCTCTTTATTTTATTAACAATCCTTTTGAAGTATTATTTGTTATCTTCATCTAATTAATTATCTTCATCATTAATTTAACTAAAATAAAGGAAATTTAAGGAATAAATAAATACAATATTAATTTAAAATTAAAGGATTATTAAAAAAAAAAATTTAATATACTCTAAAAACTAAAAGGCTTGATATATTTGATTTTTTTATATATTCAAAGAAAAATATTAAATTTAATTTCAATATTAATAAATGATTATATAAAATTAAATCCAAATATATTTTAGCATTTGTTTTTTCTTATGGATTGTTAAAATTTTAATAAAATTATTTGAATATAAAATATAAAGCAAATTTGTATAAAATAAAAATTTATTTAGTTGATTGAAGAAAATAAGAAATAACAAATATTTTTACTGTAAATTTAATTAGAGACATGTGAGATTTTTACACTTTGTCAAGGAAACACCAATACTTTTTACACCTTCAAAGCAAATTTTGTTTCAGCTTATAAATTGTAAAATTTAAATTAATTCATATTTAAAAATTTAGATAGTAAAAAAATTTAGTTATTTGTTAAAAATTTTATTAGATGCTAAAGGTTTAAGCTATTTTGAATATTTATATAAATGAAATTATTATAAATTAGTAAATTAAGATTGTAAAAGTATTTTAAAAAATTGTATTTTATTTACCTCAAATTAACATTTAGAATTGATAACTTTTAACACTTCTCTAAGCTAGAAAATAAACCTGAAATACCTTAAGAACCAATTCGTTTATTGCTTGAACATAAAATAGTAAATTTATTAAAAACTTTAAGATTTTTATATTTTTACTTTAAATTAAGTTTTAAAGTTATGAGATTG